TTTGCATTGTCTAAAAACTATCCTACGCACTTAAGTTGTCGAATGAATATTCTGGATCATTTTATCAAGAATCATGTCTAAGCTCAACACAAAAAGTTGGGAAAATCAACCACGATCACATAGAATTTTACAGATCTCAATTCCGAGTCCAAACGAGTGAGATAAGTGAGTTCAAAGCTGCACATGTCGTTATAGTAACTTTTGCGTATCAAAAACTAAAACGAGCGTATCTTATTCATTTGAGGTCGAAATAACGAGCCGTTTGCGGCAGCGCGATCGTATCGACAAGGAGTACATTTTAGAGTTTCAAAATACCTGGATTTCTATATAATTTTGACGAGATCCGACAATTAAACTCGTAATTCAAATGCAAGCGGTAATGAAAATTTAAACAAGCTTACAATTTAATAGCTCTTTACAAGTAAATGAAAATTAAGATAGTGGTTGTTCTGGGCAACGCCTCTTGTCGTGACCAGGTTGTCTGCACTTAGAGCATCGCTTCGGTCCCTTCTCGTCCGTTCAACTTGATCCATCTCATTGTGTATCCTTTCAACTCTAGGACGACCTTTGGTGCGTTTTAGGTGCAACGGTGGGATAATCAACTTTCCAGCGTATATAGGCCAATACGCTTCATCTGGCATGGGGCTCAAAGCTGCATTATATGAGTTCCGTATCGCTTGTTCAGTGTAGTAAGGACTCACCAGGCTGTTTCTGTTCATGGTTATTGACTTAGCAACCGCCATTGCATGTGAACAGGGTATCCTTTCGTTCTGATACTTTTGACAAGAACACTCCCCTAATTCGTAGTCAATTTAACCGTTTGACGATTGTGACCACGTCTCCCTCCACCCATATACCTGTTTCGACACGAATATTCCTTCACTGCGGTTAAAAAGAACAACCTTATGCTTACTTGATTTTTCATCGTTCTTCTGCATTTGAGCGAATACGTCATGTGCTATTGAATGACCTTGCAACTCCCTCCCTATAGCTTGCTGTAGCCGAGCAACTCGCCACTCGTTGACCTTCCAGTAAGACATCTCCACGATGACAGAAATAGGCATCGCTCGAAGACCCTTGTACACATTATTTATACTTTCTCCATGGTTGGTAGTTGCAATGCCCCATCTGGCCCCGTTGTCCATATGGAACGTCCACATGGGCAACTCTTGACCTTCAGCCCATACTGCTCCAGCTCTGGTCTGACGGATCGTTTTCATCTTCTGCTCGTACTTTTTTGGTTGATGTGCAACCGCTGAAAGGTGAACAAAATCGTAACTGGTCAATACATGATGAATAACATCAGCTTAATAAACACAAACTTAAATCGCATAAGAAAAACATTAGTACCTGCATTCCAAAGTTGATTTTTGATGTCTTTCTTCTTCCCAAATTTGTGCTGGAAATTGGCGAGCCAGTGTCGAATACACCATCGCCATCTCCATCCCCCTCGTCGGGAAAACCACCACAGCATTCCTAATCCCCGCATGTCGATCGGATATAATCGTAATATTTTCCCGCTGTGTAACGTGTTCGTGTAGTTGGTCAAAGAACCATGCCCAACTTAAGCTGTTCTCCCCTTCCACTAATGCAAATGCAAGCGGGAAAATCCGCCTGTTTCCATCAACGCCAGTGGCGATTAGAAGACATCCTCTGTACTTCCCAGTAAGGAAAGTTCCGTCAACCTTAATAAAAATTTAGGATCTAATTAGTATGAAATATACGTAACAGAAAATAATACAACATGTAAAACCCGAACCAGTTGGTAAAATACCTGAATAACTGGTATGCAGAACCCAAAACCGTCAATGCATGGTTTAAAAGCCCAAAAAAGAAAGACGATGGAACATCAGCTTCTCCTGTACTCGAACTTGATCCTCAGTGTATACATTGTTGTATACTGGGACGAAAACAGTCCCAGGATTGGACTCCTCCATTGCTCCCATAAGTCTAGGGAGTAAAGCATACGAATCCTCCCAATCACCATACACCTCAGCCATGGCTTTCTGCTTTCCATGCCATGCTTTTTTGTACCTTATCGTGTAAGAATGTCGATCCTTCACCTCTGCCATGATAGCTTTCACCTTGATATCTGGTTGTGCTTCTATAAGGTGCTTAATAGTTCTCCCAACTTTCTTTGCTTTTAGTTGCCTGTGATCTTGGGAAAGTATAGACGAGGAGCATGTGTGGATCGTCTCAGCTTTGCGAATCACCCAAGCACCCTTTCTCTTCATATTTGCAGCCCGCAGTTGCCACGTACAACCCTCTGCATCATGCTTGCATATGACATGTAGTTGTTTACTGTCAGAATATTTTACCTTCCACTCGAAATTGCGCCTCAACGCCTCTTCTGTAAAAGCATCCTGCACAGCGTCTTTCGATGTGAACGCCATACCCACCTCCAAATTGGCCGTCGGATTATACACTGGCATAGGGACAAAGTCGGGGGGATCATTCTGACTATGTAAAAATTGAGTTGGAACCTGTGTGTAATATGGCGTGGGTGCCTCACGAAATGCCACCTCATCCTCGTTATCATCAGTATCTTCCTCCTCCTCGCTCACTGATCTCAAATCTTCCCCAGTATCCTCGTCGCTCGACTCGAATGGATAGCTCGGGCCAGAAGGATCAACATGACCACGATCACCAACATCGTCTTCTCGCTCATGTGAAGTACCCCTGATCGAATGGTATTCTCGATTTCAGACCACTCTGGCCCCCAAGCAGGCCATTGAACACCATCGGCCTCAACAAATGGGTCTGGTTGATCAGGTTGCGAGTATTCTTCCGATGGCACCCATCCTGCACTACTACCTCCACCGTAATTGATTGAACCACCACCCTCTCCGTAACCTCCTGTATAACCACCGCCTTCGTAGTTGCTCAAACTACCACCCCATCCGTACCCTCCTGCAAAACCATCATCATGAGAATACAGGTGAGAATGAGATTCACCGACCGCCTCGGTCTCAACATACACCTCTGCAAGCCGGACTTGGTTATCGCTTAGGAACTGTAACATCATCGTAACCGCGTCATCATCGTTTATGACAACTTCTTGGAACACGACCCCGCCAACACTCATGTCTGGATACCGTAAGTAATTTTTCCAAGTCTCGTCTGTCCGCTCGTACAAACCCTGTCTGCACAAATATCACAGAGTTCTTGAAAATTGAATCGGGAGTCAATTTTCAGCATAATGGATTCGCCGTCCTCATAATCAATGCCTATGTCAGAGTTTGTCACCCTTCCATTCCACCGAATAGTAATATGAAACTTCTTGAATTTACCCATATCTACAATTTACAATAAGTATCTATTAGCTTAAAGACAGTAAAATTACCAAAATCATATTGTACAACTAATATTATCCATCTCATAACTAACGAACATAAATTCAACTAACTAACAACAACATAATACGAAAATTAAATCATACTATAACTACTAAAAACATATTAGACTATAATACGAAAAGTCTCAACATACCGAAAAATTCTGTTCTGTGTATTATGCTCGGTTTTGGTTGCTGAATTTAAAGTTAGGGCTGGTATTCCGTAATTTACCAGTTTAACCGGTAACCGACTACCCGACTAACGATATACCGATAGCGTCAAGATGGAGATTGGCAATCGAAACCGGTTTCTAACCGGATAGGCAGTTACCGGTTATACCGAGAAATCGTGACAAGCACTACGGATTATACTTTCACGATGGCAGACTATCTTCTCCATTTGGTTTCCGGAACCTCCCTCCGCCTCTTCATGCCCAAGCTATCAATCATCAATTCTCCTTCTCCAGCCAAACTTCCTCTCCTAATCTACTTCCCCATTAGGGGACAAAATTGTTTTAAGGTGGGAGAAAATATAACACCCCGAGTTTTGATCCAGGTTCGACCGCAAAGCTGGAAAACGATTAGAAGGAATAAAGCGATGAAGAAGTGGCAACATGATAGAACACGGCCCGTCACACAGCCGTGTTGCTAGACCAAAGCAAAAATATTAGCCATTTTTGCAGGAAGCCGGACAGAGATTCGACAGGTTTTGAAGGAAAAACCAAAGAAATGTTTTGTGATGGCAGTGCGGACTTAGTCGCAACCAACAGACCACTATTTTCTAGGTTTTTGGGTAGAGAGGCAGATGGATAGGGAGATAATCTTAGAGAGAGAAGATTGGGTTTTGGTGTGAAGAATGAAGGAGAAATGGGGGTTTATATAGGATTCGAACCGCCTGCTAGGGGCAGTTTTGTAATTTTTCACAAACAATAACCACTCCCTCCAGCCAATGTTCGCATTTTTCCAAGCTAGAAACCACCCACTCCACCTGCGATTCTTGATCTCTGACACGGATCGGTTACATGGCGCACGGTCCGCCCTTGGATCGCTCTCTAATCCAACGGTTCTGCAGACCGTCGCTTCCCCATACGGTTTGTTGGTTGCCCTAGCTTTGACCGCCTCTTCCCCGGGCGTTTCTTTAGTAAACCACAAGCACCTTTAGTGTGCGGTTTACAACAAATGGTGTTAGTTTTGGAAATTTTCCGAAAATTGTGGTATTTTTGTAATTTTTTTATGATGGTAGATGTGGAAAAAAAAATCATAATTATCATAAATGATCACACACCTATTCACTTTGTACAAAACGGTCACAACCCTTTAATTTTGCACGTTTCGGTAATACAAGTATGAGCGAATAACTAAATGGTTAATCCGTCCAATTTCGTCCAAAGTCTGTTACCTACACATTCCGCATGACACATCATTAAAAATATTAACTAAAAAATTAGTCAATCACCTCACTTAACCTTCACAAAGCTAACCGGTCGTAACAAGCTCTTTACCCACCCCTTCCCAAATTGGAGAAAGCAAGCAACCCTTCTTCTTTCAAGCTTGTCGATCTTGAGAAGATGCAGCACCATGTTGTACATCTTGACAATCAAATCGTGATTGCTCTTCAACTCCATCGTGGCCAACAACCCCTGGCAAGATCTCTGCCCACTGGCATAGAACTTGAATACGTTTTGGCCTACTTTCAACAATAACGGCGAATTCTTGGGCACACTTTCCCCCTGCTGCTTCGAACTCGGTTCTGGGGTTTCCTTCTCGTCTCTACTAGCACCACCAGAATTTTGGGTTCATCGGAGTATCCGCAGCAGTCGGAAGGCCTTCAAACTCGTCTTCGTCCCATTCGGCGAAGCTGGCGGTCGTAGTAGAGGCCAGAGTCGACGAATCGGGTCTCAATTCGGAGGCAATATTATATCTCCAATATAATAGGCAAAGTTTACATCAACAATACCAACAACAAAAACACGCACAGAAGAAAGCAATGCTTGGAAGTTGGAGGAGACCATTCCACGGCAGCTGATTAGTTTACAACAGCAAATGTACATATTTTAATGGCCACATTCATTTTGCTAGCTTCTGTCCGGACTTCTTCTTTCGTTAAATCGAGGTTTTTACTTTCTACAAGTTTACTTAGTAAAACTCAGCACACCTAACTGGCAATTCCAAACACCAAGCGCAGTCCTAAATCATCCTGGCAAGCATCGCCTATCGATGATCCTGCGAAGTGTTGCCAGCATCACAAGATCAGTTTGTGAATACTAAAGCAGCAGCTAAGCAAGAATAGATACTGTGTGCTTACCATTATAGAAGACTGGCCACCAAGAAGTAAAATAACCAATCTAGTTTTAAGTGTGCAGGTAATTAGCAGCCATCATAAGCTCCAGAGTCAGTTCAGGTTCAATTGGGAACTCGGTTTCCTTACCACTGGTAAAAAAACAACAATAAATTGTCAGCAGATTATACAACAGGTCAAACTTAATGAAGAGACTTGAATACACGATGGAATCTGTAGGTCTTTGTTGATGACAGTTTCAGTACCGTTCTCATTTAGCGACTTTAAGAACTTCAGATTGCGTACAGAGCATCAACTAATGACCACATCATGTCCAATTCAAGTAATAACAGTATAATCACAATCAGCTTGTGCAAGTGATCAGCAAATGAAAAAGAGAACTGCTGGAAAAGTTCCAGTCAAAGATGTCAAAATAGGAAGCAGAACTACAATCTATATTTGTGTCATCTCAAAACTTCGCTATCGCCGTCATATGACAACTGCAGTAGGGGAAAAAGCATAGGCAAAACAAGAGAAACATGCAAAATCAGCAACTCGGTCAACAACTTAGTTTTCATCCGTGAATTTACATCAAGACAATTAACATAAACTGATTGAAAACTCATGAAATGAAGAGAATGAGCTTATTATTGTCTGAACAAAGTAAAGCAGCACTAGTTACTAGTAAGAGTAACCTTCTATGAACCAACACACTCTAAAAACAAGTCGGACCGATGGACAATGACCGAGAACTCTAGAACCATGCTGTTCTTACTCGAAGAAAAAGATACCCAGAAGATGAAACCACTGCTGACTGTATTTTATAACGAGTATGCCTTACACCATCAACTAAGCAGAAGTACAGAAATGCCAGCGCTGAAGTGCGCCATTGGCTTAAAAAACACAACAACATGCTTAGTCAGCGAGATGGATTGCTGAATGCTTGTAAATTCAACGAGAGCAAACCAAACTAAGACGTTCATGTAGGGACGAACTTCAGAGAAGCAAGGGACAATTTTGAAAGAAACAACACAATGCAAAAATGGAGTCGACAAAAGAAAAGGGGGAAAAGGAAACCGAACCTAGCATACTGAAGAGACCAGTGGAAATACTGGCAGATTTTCTCCAGAATCGTGGTGCTTATCTCAGGGAAAGTCACCTCCCCATGTTGCGCCTCCGCAAAACTCCCTGCCAAGTGCCAATTGAAAATGAAAGGCGATCAACTTTGCCACAAAGAATTTAGCCAGCCCACCATCCCCCAATCAGCGACGAACTAAATCGCTACCACCAATCAACTCAATTGAACAAAAGGCGCCAGATTTTGTATCGAAATCGACGAACCCAGATCAACAAACAGAGAAATTCCCACATTGGAATTCTCACGAATCCATTCGACTTTGGAAACGCCAAGAGAGAAGAGGGGCAGAATGAGATGGACCTGGAGAGGTGAGCATGTTGCGAATTGTCTGCGAAACCATGGCGGCTTCCTTACTGATCACGAACTCGAACCCCTCGGCGCTGATTAGCTTGACCGTGTCTTCTTTCCTCATCTCTGTCTTCCGTTTTTCTTTTCTTTTCCTCTTCTCTTCTCTTCTCTTCTCTTATTATTTTTCTGGTGCTCCTTCTTTTATTAATTCCGATTTCCGGGAACAGAACTACAGAAGAGAAGACTGATCCCCCTTTTGACGAATGCGATCATAGATGATTAAACCGCCGAGAAAAGAGCTTGTCGTTCTAACGGAACGCATTGCCAAGTTAAACATTTGGTTTAGATTTGGGCCTGGGCAAGAAGCCTAAGAACAATTTTAGTGGTGGGCTGGAATTCCAAAAAATTACTTTAGTAAAGTTCCAAAAGACAAAAGTTTCAATTGATCCAAAAATTGGGTCCAAATTTAATCCAGAAAAGGACAAAAAGTTCCAAAAGAGTTTTAATAATTAAAAAAAAAATTACTTTACTTTTTCGCACCCACAATCTCCTCCAACGGCTCTTTCGGTCCAAACAAGAGACCTTCATTAATTAAGTCATATTTACAAAAAAAAAAAAATTGTCAGAATTAAAAAAAAATTGCGGAAATGTTCGTCTTAATTAATTAATAGTACCTACATAAAATTAATGAACAAATTTTGTAATTAGAATGATGAAATATATACAAAACTGGATTATGAGTTAAAGCGCAAATCTGGAAATTTGGACTTTTGGAATACACTACTAATGCCTTTTTTTTAAAGAGGATTCATTAAGAATACGAAGGGGCTAAAAGCCCAAACGGAAAAGTACAAGCTACTAGCAACAGAATTGAAACAAAAACTCAAACAAAAGGCTAAAAAAAAAGCCCGGTACCCAATAGGGCCCAGGCCCATGACCCAAACATGTAAAAGCACTCCCCAACCCTAGCTTCCAGAGCCCCCTCTACTCTCTTCCACCGCCGCGGCCGAGGTCCACCGCCGCCACACGATCACGACACGGCTCCTCCTCCCACCAGCAGCCGTCACCGTGAAAGAAAGACCAGAGGAGAATCCCGTCGAACCCGGAAGCCAGGAGGAGGACGCATACGACCATCCCACCCCGAGCCAATCAAAGAAGCTCCCTGTAAACCACACCAAAGGAAAACATTCGATCAACCGGACGGTCAGCGAAGGAGATAGAGGGTTAAAATACTTCTGCCTTCAAGCTCTCCCAACCGCGTCCAAAGCCAGAGGCCACATCTTCGAATCGTAAAGATCTGCAAAACGAAACAAGGAGGTAGACGAATGAGGGGAGAGGAGAAAACAAGCCAGATCTACAAAAGAAATGGCCTCCTTCGTATCTTAGATGGGAACACTTCTCCAGATCTGGGAAAACCAAATCAGAGGCCAAAAGACTCCACTCACAGAGGAGGAGAACAAGACACCCACCAAGGAGAAACAGTAAGGCCACAAGGGGAAGAAACAGAGCAAATCGCAAGAAAAGGAAAAAAATGGAGTAAAGCAAATAGAAAAGAAAATGAACACAACGAATAAAAGGAGATGAAAAAAGGGGGGAGGGCTGCCGCCAGTCGTCGGAGAGACGCCGGCAGCAGGCCCGCACTTAGCGCGAAAAAGAGAAGTCTAGAGAGAGGTCAGAGAAAAGAAAGAATAGAGAGAGAGGAAAGGATGCCAATAAAAAAAAAAGGCAGGTCACACACTACTAATGTCAAAACACCTTTTGAGGGGCTAGAGTTTGAATTATAGCCTCAAATTTTGGACATTTGGATCTAATCACTAAAGATGGTCTAAGCCTACCTAACTCAAGATTTCAGCTATAATGGATTGATGGGATATTTTAGTGAATGGATTGGATTGAAAATTACCAGCTCTATTTGAATCTCATTGAGAAACATTCTTTGTGTTACCCATTGCTGCAAAGGGGGTTTAGCACAAAATTGAAGATGGGTGACAATGATGAGCAAAGCATACAAATTGCGATATCAAGTGGAAAATGCAATAAGAGCATGCAAAGGAGGAAAATGATACATTCAAGCATTTCATCAAACACCTTGCGAGCATGAAAATGGGACATGAAAGTAATATTGTTGTTGATGTGACTTGAATCGGACCATCAGCCGCTAGGGGGTCTGTAATTTGTAATCTCCTCGATATAGTGAAACTAGCTCTCTCTCGCCTGTGGACTAGCTAACACACATCGTGTTAGTGAACCACGTAAATCGTGTGTCTGTGTTTTTCGATTCTCACTTTCGTATTCTTGCTTTATCGATTCCGGCGATTTCTCGATCCGTAGCAGTGCGTTTATAACACTTGTAATGGGGTAAAAAGGCACCTCCCATGAGAATTTGAACACCCCCAATCACAATAAACATGCATATGCCAAGGGTTTAGAAGAGCTAGACCAAAACTCATTTATAGCAAGGAAGCACATTAAAGTCATTGCAAGGGAGGTTTCAAGAAGGTGAAGCATTGAATATCTTCCTATGAGTTAAGAAGAGTTTCACTAACCTCCAATATATTAATTTGATAAGAAGTGCACTTTAAGGTGAGCTCTTAATGCTTGAATTGTGCTCTTGGGTGGTATGTCAAAGTTGAGATAAGGAAATGTAGAAAGGGAGATGCAATGTACAAATAAGAGCTAGAAGTTGAGGGGAAAAGAAAAGTGAACAAACAGGTCAAGGCTGAGTATTTCAAACCGAGAGCGGTCAAGATCGCGAGCTAAACTCACTAGATCGTGGCTGCAAACTTGACCTCCTTAACCGCGATCGTTAGCTTCCCTACTCTTCAACCTCTAAGGATTAGCATGCAAAAGGGGCTATCAAACAAATTGATCACCAATTTCATGTCATGAGAACTGAAGGCATCAGGCTCAAAGTTCCTATAATAATTAGGGATTCTACTAGGGATAAAGAAAAAGAAAATCAAACTGAAACGTTGGGTTACCTCCCAACAAGTGCACCTTTAAGGTCTTATCGTCGAACTCTCCGAAATGAGTTGATTAGGAGGTGGTAGTATCCACCCAATTATTGTTGTCATCATACACACTCTTGTTATGAAGACCGAGGTGTATGCCATGTAGGCTTCTGTTACCTTCCTCCATAAATAGATCTAAGGGTAACCGTCTTACTTCATCCCGCTCCATGGGAGTGCCTATATGTGACTCTTCCTCGTGGATAGTAGTTGTAACCTTATCAGATGCTCCCCCAAGACCTACCTTGGACATTTTGTTCTCTCCTTTAGCTATTCCAGTACTAACATGCTTGGTCGCCAGATGGCCCGTATCAAGAATGGGTACCTCTTGAGAAATTCGAATTTCTGGTGGCAATGTCCTTGCATAAGGTACAAATGCTGGAGAATCCCCCCGTCTATCGCTAGAGAGGTTGATAACCAATTTGTCATCACCAAATTCCATGACGACTCTTCTTTTCGAAACCTCGATCGTCACTCTAGTGGTTGCTAAGAAAGTCTTCCCTAAAAGGATGCGAGATGTTTCTTCTTCGATGTTCATTACCAGGAAATCCACCAGGTAGGTAAAGGATCCAACTCTCACTAAGAGATCTTCAATAATTACCATAGGGTAAACTATTGTTCGATCCACCAGTTGTATGGCCATAATTGTTGGGGTTGAACTCTACCAAAATTTGGGCAAAAACCTGCTCTACACGCATTGGTACTATATTGCTTTGTCCTTCTAAAAGCTCGGTTAGCTCATTCTCAGCTTCCTTGATTTGGAGTTCTAGTTCCATTGTGCGCTTTGTTCATGCCTCTTCCTCCTCTATTTGTTTGCATAGCTCTTTGATTTGCTCTGGATCATTGTATTGAAAACCGTAAGGATATCTTCTTCGGATGAGCTCCTTGAACTTTTCATTAAGCCCATTGAAGAAATTATCATTGAGGAGACTCTCCAGATGTCTGCACGTTGGAAATTTGTAAACCATAGCATTGAATCTTTTTCAAGCTTTGTCAAAACTTTCTTCAGGAAAGCCAAGATGTTATTTCGAAAGAGGTTAAACATTGAACCAACGGGATAACAAAACACAAAACTCTCCATGATTTGGCTCCAAGAAGGAAAAGTTGAAGCCAGGAGCTCCTTGTACCACAAAGTAGATTATCCTTCCAAAGAATAGGTGAATATGAAGCTATTGGGTGGTTTTTATCACTTCCTAGTAATTTCACGGTATTTGTGAAACTCATGAAATTCCTCAAATGGTAAAAAGCACATTCGTCCTCTATTCCTTGAAATCAAGATCTTTGGTGAAGGGCGGAGGTGGCTCTTCTAAGAATGATAACCAGCTCATGGTCCTCCATCAAGAAAGGTATTTGAATTACAACATTCAAAATCTTGGCTATTTTGTGTTTTTCGATAGTTATGACTATATTTGTCACAAACGTAAAAGTTATCGCTATGAGAATGTATTTTTTTTCTTTATAATTGGGTTATATGTATAATATGTACCTCTACTTTGTATTTTTCTCAAACATATCCCTCTACTTTAAATCACATCAAATCTATCCTTCCATTTTGAAATACTACTCAAAACTACCCTTCCGTTTACTTTTCCTCCTCATAAGCATAAAATTTGGCCCACCAAAATTGGGAAAAATCCAAAAGTACCACTGTTCAAAAAAAAATTAACAAAAATACCACCCAACCCCAAAAAATTCCAAAAATATCACCTTTTTTCAAAAACCGCCACCCCACCCAGCGGTTTGGTCGAAAACCGCTTGTCGGGGCGCGGTTTTGGACCAAACCGCGGGCCTAGGGGGCGGTTATAAAAAAAAAAAAAATTTGGACCAAAACCGCTGGGTGGGGCGGCGGTTTGGCCCAAAACCGCCACCCCGACCAGCGGTTTGGTCCAAAAGTTCGGTCGAAACTTCAAACGAACGTAACTTTGCACTCGGGTATCCGATCGTAGCGATTTTTTTTTTTCATTTCGCATAACTTTTCAAGATCTACAACTTTTACTAGGATGAAATTTTCAAAACAGGAACTATTTGTGGATATACGGGACCTTGAGAATAACTTTACCTTTACTTTTCAGAAATCCATGTACATTTTGAAATTATGATTATATTAAAAGTTGTAGATCTTGAAAATTTATGCGGAATCAAAAAAAAGTTCATAACATTCGGAGTTTGGAGCACAAAGTTATGGCCGCCCAAAGTTTGACGAAAGGCGAGACCCGGCGGTTTGCGGCTTGCAAGATCTCAAAAAGTTTGCGGCCTCCATTTTTTGAATCCGAATAACT